ACACCATCAAAAAGATATTTTTATGTATATTCTGTTGTTTGGCATCCTTCATGAGATGGTTAAGATACATCCACTTCTCATCTGATTCACTTTTAAGCATGACAAGCCTAAAACACAATTAAACAGTAATTTCTTCAAGATGTGAGTATTTGCAACATAAAAAAATCACCCTGCCAATATGGCAGAACGATCTCATAATGCAGCGTGACATGACATCAATTTCCCAACCCCAGTTGTGTGTACGTCCCAGCTTAGAAGAAAGCTTTTTTGTAAGAGTGTGCAGCAGGAAGAAACCTTCAAAAAAAAGTAAAGGAAAGCAAAGAATTGTGGATTGCTGTGAGACTGCATTTCATGTTCTTGTGCAACTCTGTGCGCCTACTAATGCTTCATCAAAATTTCATCAGGCTTTCATGGCAAGTCATGCTTTGCTGCACCTTTGAGTTCATATCTGCTTCCTCTGTCTGTGAGCTGTCTTCAGAAGCATGAAAGGGCTCACCTGGCAAAGAGGCACGTGAGGGAGCCTGAGAGCAGTCGGGAAAGCTGAGCTGCGTTTCTCTCCCCGAGCAACCCGTCTTATCTCTCCTTTTGATGGTGTGAAGAGAGGTATTTTAGCCGATGCTGAAGGCCTTTGAGTTTGAACAGACATAAAAAAATGTTTTTCACAGCATTTTGTATGCACATCTCTCCATCTCTCTGTGGCACATGGGTCTGTTAAGTGTTTGTGCTAAAATGTCTGTTTATCAAAGAAGCATTGATTTGGGCTGAACCTGATTAATGTACTTTCTTTCAAGTTTCCTCTGATTTGCAGTTTTTTTCATACATGTCTTTTTGGAAATTTCACCAGCTTCCTCCTTTATTCTGTTTCTGTCTCTCTTGCTTTTCGCTCTCTTTTACCTTTTTCCCTTGTGACCCTGTCGTTAGATTTAGTCCCTGATAGGTTGTGTGCTTTATTTTTCCTTATGAAATATTGGTGAAGCCTTGTCTCAATTGAAAGAGTGCAGTGAGCATTTATTTGTCTGAGGTGGTCCCTGTGCACCCTGTGTGGAGAAATAGTCCCTGTGCACCTTATGTGTGGAGAAACACACACACACTTTTATGGCATCCAAAACCTTTCAAGTCATGAAGAATTTAAAACAAGACTATCTGCCATAAATTCTAGCGTTTATGTCCACAGGCTTTCGCTCTGGATAATAACAGTTTAAGTTCATCTTGAAAGAACGCGTTGAATGGCGAGTTTCGAGATACATTCTGTGAAGAAAGCATTTCTCCTCACTGGTCAGGCAGAATCAGCTTTGTGCCGCCCGTGGTACAGCAACTTTCTGAATTTGCAGACGGTAGCTCTGCACGTTTCAGACATGTTTCTACTTCCCTTAACAGCTGTCAGTTCAGCGAGCAGTGCGGCCTGGAGCTGAGTGCTGAGGGAGTTTTTCAGTGGAGATCTTTTATTGGCCTCTTGAGTGTCTAATCCATGATCTGTCTTCACTGAGACACGGCTTTTAATCTATTCTCTCCTACCACTATACAGCAGTCTTCTCCTCTTATTAAGCCATGCTAATCACCCAGGCTGCCTGTAATCGCTGCCTACAGAGACTGAGCTGAAAATATCAGGGGGACGCAGGCGCTGTCCAAACAGGTGTACATACTAAGAATAAACATGAGTTTTGCAGATGCCTTTCTGCAAGGGCGGTATAGGGCACATGTACATAAATAAGATGATAAGTGTCTCAATAGTTGTAGCCATAATTATCCTAAATTGCCCCATGATGGCATCACAAAGTCACTTTAAAGGGCCCACTTTATATTTTGGAAATAAAAAAAGTTAGATGTATTACATAAACACTGTTAAATGTTTCAAAATGTACCATTCACTCCCCAATTCATACAGTCCATGTATCGTCACTGTGCAAATAAAATTCCAAAATAGTATCTTTACAGAAGAAGGCAAAACTGATTTCACTTTTTTGGGGGGATTTTTTTCCAGTTTTCTCTCCAATTTAGTTGTATTCAATCGCACCCAGTAGTTAGGACTCCCCCAGCTACTCAATACCACCAGCACTAGGAGAGCAAAGGCAAGCATAAGCTTCCTCCGAGTCACATGAAACCAGCCACCGCATCTTTTCCGACTGCCATTGTACAGCTAAACACGCATGGAGGAGAACGCTAACCGCCAGTTCTGTTATGTCAGCTAACAGATGTCTGCGCTGGCTAACATGAATGATGGGGGAGAAGGAGGGCCCTCCTACCAAGCTCTTGGACTCCCAGCCATGGATGACAATCAGCAATCACCTGATAATAGGGCCAACGCTTAGACAGTTGCACCACTCAGCAGCCCGGGAACTAAACTTTTAATTCAAGTTAAAGGGGAATTCATTACATTTTTCTAAATATCTACACAAGTAAATAGTTCAGGTGTAAAAAAAAGTCATTCAGAGTGGTTTGATGTGAAATGTTCCATTCTAGAGAAACTTTCCAAATCAGAATTGTTCACTGTGGTGGTGATAGGAACCAGACGTCTGAAGAGTTCAATGATTCTAAAAGCTCCCTCACAGAAAGTTATGACGTGAAATGGTTACAAATACACTGCCTGATGCCTGAGGCATTATTCATTCATAGCAAAGAGGCACATGCTTCCCAGTGAAAACTTCTTTTTTCAGATTGACCACTGCTTTACCGCTATCAACATTACATATTACATATATGTGATTCAGAATTCATGTAGGTACACTGGTGGTTTTGGATAGCAAATAATATAGCTATATATAAACGGCAGTTTAGCCCTGCCCATACACAGTGATAATATACAGAGAGTTACAGCCCTGGTTTTTGAATGAGATGCAACACTGAACAGCCAATCACAACAGAGACTATTTATATGGTCTTCAAAGACACAGTAACAGAAACAGCCTGTTTGATTCTAAGGGATAAAAAGGGGGGGTCATAAAAATGAGTTGAATATTTATGGTACATAATCCAGTACAAACACCATAGGCATTCCTCAGGAAAAAAGACAAGAAACATGTGGGGCCATTTAAGACATCTTAGTCCAAACCAGTACAAATACACAAACTATAATCAATTTCTGTGTGTGCGTCTGAAACATTTGGAATTGTACACTCATTCCCTGCATAACCTGAAACTAATTAAAGGATAAATAAGCTGATAAGTGGCCTATTGCAAAACTAGTCATGTAAGAAAAATAATCAAAAGCTTGTTTTGTCCCACATCCTTGCTTTTAACTTCTGCATTTCAATGAGCTGCTGAATATTTAACACAACCAAAAAGAGCAGAGAGTTTTATTCGTATTTTTTCAGGCACAGATTTATTTTCTCACAGTGTTGAGTTTGTATTTTTTTCACAGACTACACAAATCTACTAACAGGTGAAGAGCACGGCGCTTGGGCGCTGACAGAGAAAGGACTGGCTACTAACATCTGGGACAAGAACTAAACAGAAAGGGCGGACAAGAGAGCACAACGAAACGGAGGACAAAGCAAACAGCATGGAGCTCAAACACATTCACAAGTGTATGCAATCAAACACACACACCTGTGAACACGCACACACCCACACGTTCACATTCTCACTCATGCTGTCATGCAAGCCATTGACTTTTATTTTGTTAGTCATATAATAAAAGCAAACAATGGCTATAAAAAGTGTAACACACTGACAAAAATGGTGCTTCAAATGTGTCAAACCGGAATAACACAGTCACTGTCCAAAAAAAAATAAAATAATAATAATTTACAAGAGAAGGCAAGAACGTTCTCAACTTTTAATGTAAGCTAATGTAAAGAGATTTTGTCATTTTGGAGCATTTCTGTTGGTCTGTTCTTTATGAATTCACCCAGTGTAAAGGACAACTGCTGTTTTAAAATGATGTAGAAAAATAAAAGTAAAAAAAAAATGTAGCTTTTATTTTTAGTATTCTTTTGGACAGCAACTGGCTTGATGTAACACATTATATTCAACAGTTTGAATGTTCACTCAAAACACCATCTTCTTCAGTGTATTCTTATAATGCCTTAATCATCTATTCATCTAAAAAATATAAACAGACCTTATTTTACACATATTCATTGCTATTAGAACTGTGTTCTGCATAGGGTGCGCTAAATGTCCACTAAACACTGACCGAGTGAAAGAGTGCGCAAGATGCACTTAGGCGTGCCAGACACAACACGGATCTATACACAATTGTACTTTAGAAAATATGTTGGCTACACTGCGACGTGATGATGGATCTTAATATTAGTACAGACACCATACAACATGTAATCTTATTGTAAGTAAAACAGGCCAACTAACAGGGATAAGATACAGCACAGAAAGAGTCCGACAGTAGCATGAACAGACAACACAGACACATTCTCTCCACACGCACTGCTTTTGGAAAGTGACTACCTTGAGTTGTTAAACTGCGCAGTAATATGATAAGATCATGCTTAAATTGTTCCACACATAACATGTAGCTTAAACAGGGGTAGAAGCACACACAAAACTGCCTACATTAAGTGTTCAACTTTACAAAAGGCATCGATGGCTTTGTCATGAGCTAACAAGAAATTATTCAATTGTTTGTTGTTTTGACTGATACAGTGAAAAAAGTCATCAACTGAGTTTATTTGATTCGAATGTATAGAACATTTCCACGTTAATAAAATATCGCTGCTGTTGGAAGAAAACCTCGTATCTCCAAAATAGTAACTTTACAGGAGAAGGAAAAAACCTACTTTACTTTTAATGTAAGTCAATGGAACCAGACATTTTGTCCAAGTAATTTTGGGTCATTTCTGCCAGTCCATTTATCATGAAATTTACACACAATGTAAAGGGCAACAGTTATTTTCAAGTTATGTTAAAAACTGGAAAACGACAAAAATGGAGATACAAGGTTTTGTTCTGACAGCAGCGAAATATAACATCTCATCATTTTGTCTTTCATTTTATTTACTTCTCACAATATTTTATTTTATTCATGTGGAAATTTATACATGCTTTTTCATGTTCAAATCAAGGACACTCAGTCCGCTGCTTTTTTTCAGTGTATCTGACATGTCTGCAGGGCTGGATGAAAGAGAAAGAGAGAGAGAAAGAGAGAGAGCAGATCTGCCTACAAAGAAGAACATTTGAATTCATTATCCGCAGGAACGTTGATGAGTCATGAGATAACAGGAATGAGACGCTCGCGAAATGATTCGCCTGCAGAGAGCAAAGCTGCTGTCGGGCAATCGCAGACGAGACGACCAAGCTTTATGAACTTCCTGGCCACACTAAAGGCTTTTTTAGCAACATGCCTGATCATGTGTTCGATAAATATTCAGCGTTTGATTTCACTTGCTGGGATACAGATATTGGCAGAGATGGCAAAGTGAAATGATAAAATGCTTTCTTTCATGTTGTGCATAGCCTCAACTCAAAATTGTAACTGAAAATAAATGGTGTTTTCTTTAATTTACATGATTCAAATGTTTCGGTTTACTTCTTTTGTAAAAGAATTGCGACGATGATAATACATTTTATTAATGTGTAACATACATTTGAACCATGTCAATTCAAAGCACCATTTTTTCAGTACACCTAGAGTATGTACATAAAAACGTGTATATGCATGTGCTCATTGACAATGTCTACACGACCGTTACAATGACATGAGAGACTTTTTCCACATCAATTCTTACAGTGTCAGCATTAACCGCATTTTCAAGTCGAGTAGGCTGTTATTATTAGCTAATTCCAAGAAAATGGCTTAAAGGTCAATCTCGAAGCATCAAAACCTATTTCACATAATATTAAACTACTTATGCTTTGGTTTGGTAAGGCGCAAGTAAGCTGAATATTAGTGTATTTACAAGCATTTCTAGCAGTGTCTTTACTACTTAAAGTTCAACATCTATTAGCAGTATACAGTTAACATGTTAGTTCTTTGAAATATCCTGTTAAATCTGTATAAGAAGCATGTACTATATTTACTTTGTATGCCTGAACCTAAAAAACATTTAGTATTTTGTGCACAAAATAAAAGGAGAAAATACTTTATCTGTCCTCCAGCTCTGACAACACAAGACTATTTCAAATTATAGCCTTCACTGCACCATAAATATTCTGAAGATTGCTTGGCACTGAGCAAGGCGGATATAGGAAATCATTTTGTTTGCTATGGCACACGCTGTCTGGAACATAAGTGTTGTAAATAACAATTTGTCATTCTTTTCAAAATGTTTAGTGCTCTTGCTGGTATTATTCAATGTCCTGTAATAGTGAATCAAAATAATACGCTTTCTAGGTCACATTCGCCTGTTCTTTCTTTTCTTTATAAACACATTTTCACCCTTCATTAAATGAAACACCAATGGCGGACAACACGTCCACTGGTAAAACATCCAACAGCAGCTTTTATCCATTCATTCTCATTGAGGACTAATGGTGCCAAATACTATATCAAGAGGGTGGAGAATTTACAAATGATTTCCAAATATCTCCTCAATTTCAAACGAGTCCATCCCTCTTTCACACTTTATAAATACAGGTACCCGATCCAGTAGACGAGGTTGAAGAGGCCGAAAGCGGTCGGGAAGAATATTCGGGAGTAGGAGTCGATTTTGGACACATGGACGTGCATCCTGTTCTCACGCCATGCCCCTGAGCGACAGTCGTCAATGCAACAGAAAAAACTCGTACAGTCTTTCCCGTCCAGACACTCGTAGGTGTAATCATCGTCATCGTGGTAGGGTGCGATGTTGTTCATCTGAAGCAGAGATGTCCCTGGCCTGATGTTCACCACGCTTGATTTCTAGCGTAAAGGGAGAACACATGAATAGCTACTCAGCATCATGCTAGCAAGGCCCTGTATGCCTCACAAACAATTACAATTTTGATTGTTAAATCAATGTTAATGTATTTTAATAATACATATTTTAATTTTCAGCAGATAGTTAACAGGTTTAATGCAATAAAGACCTTTCATATCGCTTTTATGTACAATCTAGCTATATCCATTGTCATTTTATTAAACATTGCTTTAACTAAATGCCAGTTTCATTTTGTGTTCTTTTATCCCAGTTTTTCCCAATTACAGTTTGCCAGTTAACCAAGTTTTTTCTTCCGTCATCATTTGTCTGAACATACGTTCCATAGCAAAAAGTATGTGGACGCCCCTTCTAGTTAGTAGATTCACCTATTTCAGCCACACCCATTGCTAAAAAGTGCATAAAATCAGCAACGCGATCTCCATAGATTAACACTGGCAGTAGAATGGGTCATACTAAAGAGCTCAGTGACTTTCAGTATGGCACTGTGATGGGATTCCAACAAGTCAGTTTGTTACATTTCTGCCCTGCTAGAGCTGCCCAGGTCAACTATAAGTTCTGTTATTGTGAAGTGGAAACATCCTGGAGCTTCAACAGCTCAGCTGCGAAGCAACAGACCACACAAGCTTCACAACAATGCCAGCAGAAGAACTGTTTGTCAGGAGCTTCATAGACTGGGATTCACACACAAGCCTAAGATCTCCATGTGTAATGCGGCAAGCATTGGCTGGAGTGGTATTAAGCATACCGCCAGTGGCCTTCAGAGAAGTGTTCTTTAGAGTGATGAATCACGCTTCACCATCTGGCAGTCTGATGGGTGAATCTGGGTTTGGCGAATTCCATGAGAACACTATTTGTCCAAATGCATAGTGCAAATTGTAAAGTTTGGTGGAGGAGGAATAATGCTCAGGACTGTTTTTCATGTTTTGAGCTGAGCCCCTGTTCAGCTTCAGTCAAGGGAAATTCAAATACTCCAGCACACAGTGACATTCTAGATAACTGTGCGCTACCAGCTTTGTGACAACAGTTTGGGGAAGACCCTTTACTGTCTCAGTATGACAATATACAAAGTGAGGTCCATAAAAATATGGTTTGCTTAGTTTGGTATGGAAGAACTTCACAGAGCCCTGATTTCAAGATTTTTGTGATAAACTGTGAGCCAGGCCTTATCGCTCAACATTAGTGCCCAACCTCACTAATGCTCTTCTGCCTGAATGGAAACAAATCCTCACCATGTTCCAAAATCTAGTGGAACGTCTTCCCAGAAGAGTGGAGGCTGTTACAGCAGTAAAGGTGGGACCAAATTAACACCAATAAATTTGGAAAAAACCAAGCACATATGGATGTGAAACACAGGTGTTCATAGACATTTAGCCATGTAGTGTATTTACATATGTTGTTCGATTTTAAAACAAATGGGTAAAAGCCTAAAACAAGTCAGTTACAGAAGAAAAACACGTCTATATCTATAGATACATAACAAGTAATAATAAATAGAAAGCAGTCTGTGAATCAGTATATCAATTTTAGGAAGGACAGTTAGCTTGTACATGGATGTGAATGTGTAAGTACTGGAAATCTCTGTGTTGAGGAGAGGGCATGAAAGCCATAAGGCAAAGTGTTAATGTCTATTTAAGTCTTACTGATTTGCACCTCATTCATTTTGTATTTAAAATGTATAGGTCAGCTATGTAAGAGTCTAAACTCCCTTTCATTGTGTTTACTTATGTGTAAAAGACAATATATGGGCAGTTCAGAATGTACAGAATGTGTACAGAGAGTACAGATTTGCTCACCGGTGCATTGTTGGTCTTGGTCTTCTTGTTCTGCCGATTGCTGGTGAAGTAGTGCAGTGTCCCATACTCCATTAATGCAGCAAAGGTGAAGATGAAGCACACAGACACAAAAAGATCCATGGCTGTCACGTATGACACCTTCGGCAATGACTTTCTGGATATGGTGCTTAGGGTCGTCATGGTAAGCACGGTTGTGATACCTGAGCCAATGAAAAAAATGCAAAAATCGTTATAAAGGTTACAAGAAAATCCTTAAAATTAACTGAGCAAATGGAATTTGGAAATTTCTTTTAATGGACCAAAATGCTTACATTTAATAAGACTTCATCATCATCAGCCGCACCTGTTCTTAATTTATAGACTGACTAACATACACATGAAAAAACCTCATATATCCATTATGGTAACATAATAGAAGCAAGCACCTACAAGTGTCTTGATTTTAATTTATGATCATTTTATGTGAAGAAGTTTTCAGATTTTGGACCATTTCTAATTTGTACATTCACCATGAAATGTTCACACAATGAAAAAAGCAGCTGGTGTTTACAATTGGTGTTAAAAATCTACTGAAAAAAATTATAAGTTATGAGGCTTTTATATGACAGCGACTCCACTGTGTCTTTCATTAGCTGTTGAAGTGTTGCCTGTTATCTAGCCTCATTCCAACTCCTTTGTTTCTTTGTGTTCCAAGTACTTCCTTTTATTACTTTTGTCTGCCTGTTTTTGTTGCAGGATTATGGATAAGCCTTTGATTACCCTGTCTTTGTTTTTGTCCATTCTGCCTTGGCAGTGACTCCTGGAACAGCCCAAACAAATCAAGTCTGCACATTCAATCTACTGAAACATCACAAACTGATATGTTATTGTAAACATCTACAGTAGGGTACCTAAAGATGTTCTGGCAGGAACAGCATCCTTGTTGATCCAGAAGGAAACCCAGGAGAGCACTACGATCATGCTGCAGGGGATGTAGGTCTGAATGGTGAAGTAGCCCATTCTCCGGCTCAGATCAAAGAAGATTGTCATAACCACATACTCTCCTAAAATACATAAAAATAATAATCATCTGCTCCATAATACACAGTATGTATATAGTAAATAGGGTTTGATCTTTTGTTCTTCCACATTAGGACCACCCTAGAGACTCGGCTTAAAGCTCGTTACACAGTCTGTTTCAGCTAGGGCTTTTTTGGATTTTTAATACCTCAAGGGTGTTGTGTAATGAAGCTCAATGCTCTAAAATCCCATTATTTTTCTATGAAATTCAACACTGTCCATGGACTGTCATTGAAGGTTTAAACTTTTCCCCTAAAAATATAGCTGTGTTTTACAGTATGGTTTAAAGGAAAGACGCAGAGAAAAATTATATACACAATTTGCCATTTATCCTGGATGTAGTTGATCAGCTGAGGCATGTTTGATGTCCAAATTTTGCTTCTTGAGTTTAGAACAGGAGCGGAAACACTAGAACTCACAAGCCACTCCAATTGCCCAAATCATACATGACCAAAACGTCTTTCAACCTGCTCAAACTGCACCTGGGTCTTCAAACTGCACCTGGGTCTTCAAACTGCACCTGGGTCTTCAAGCAGACTTGTCGATGTGGTTTAGGACACAGTGTGACTTACTGTACACTGTAAAAATGAACAAAACGTCGGACAGCCACTTTAGACAACAGTGTCTTTATTCAAAAACCACTTTAGGAATAGTAGTGCTGATCTAGAATCAGTATTTGTGACAATCACCATCATAAATACAGAGGAATCTGATGCAAGATCAGTCTGCTTTGTAAATACTCTGTCTAAAATGCAGTGAAGTTTTGTTCATATTTATAGCAAACAATTCACAAGTCATACTGTGTCCTATACCACAATGAGAAGTCTGTGTGACCTTAATGAAGACCTGGCTGCAGTTTGAGCAGGTTTTGGGGATGTATTTTTACAGAAACGATTTGGGCTATTTGGGTGACTTTAGAGTTTAAGTGTTTGTTGACAACAGTAGCCTCACAGCTCCAGTTCCAACCATTTGGCTTATTGGACAAAGATGTCTTAGCTAATCGACCACAACTGGGGCAAGAGGAAAACTGGGTAAATTTGATTTTTCTCTGAAGTTTTCCTTTAAACTGTTCTTGTGTTAGCACTCTTCAGTCACAGGGCTGGTTGTAAGTCAAGTGCATTGCTTTAGGTGAGTCTTTAACATCCATCAACCTGTGAAAGCCTCCAGCAAGGTAACTTGAAATTACTTTACAAACACTTTCCACACCTGACTGAGTATGTGCGATGTCTGACATGCTCCGCAGGCCTACAAAGGCGAACTGGTAAAGTCTCCAGTAGCGCTGGTCTGCTACTTCAACAGCACGAGCCTGCCACCTGTATTCAATCTCGTTCTTCGGATATCCATCTGGAAAATACACACATATAGACTGTTTACATATCAAATTACCGTCTCACTCTAAATCACACAAACTGAATTCCACACTCTCAGCGATACTGTACAATACATACACACATACAAGAATGGCAGGATGGTATTGAGGCATACAAGATGGCCCACTGCTTGTTTAATTATGGCATGCCTTTCCCTCAAACTTCTGCCCTCGGTGGTTAATGACACATATGGAAAGCTGAGGGACAGCGCATTCCGCGGATGCAGGGGTGACACAGACTGAAAGACGGAGGAATGTAAAGGCAGCTGGAGAGGGATGAGTATTCTGCTGGAGGATGGTACACTGTCCTTCCTCAATGCAGGGTTGAAAGATGGTATTCGGGACAGGCCTTAGGCAATGTTTGCTTAGCCATAATAGGTGGTGCATGAGGATTGGTCAGCTGACAGAGGCAATGTGTGAGGACTGGCTGGCCAGCAGCACCCAGAATGGGGCTGAGGCTGAGTCACAGATTGATGGTAGCAGTTTTTAACACCTACAGCTCGAAAATTCCAGTGGACACGAATGCTCATCCATAGGAAAGTTATGCAGCTTAAGGTAGCATTCCGCATTAATAGTCAACCTGACAAAAACAGAATTGTGAAAGGTAAGGAACAAAACCAAAAAGAGGTTGAGGCTGACAAATTCATTTCACACGCACTTTGATGCCTGTATTGTGTCCAGGTTTCATCATTATATAGCTAAAGTGATGTATTCACTTTAAACTGACAAATATAGTGTGATTTAAAAGATTCAAACTGTATGTGTCAACAGACAGCAGGGGCAATTTTAATCTTTTGTACAAAAGCGAGTGCTATCAGACAAGAGTACAGAAGCACACACTTCAGCTGCACAAACAACAACTGACCAACACCAGCGGTTGCATCAAACAGACGGATGGTAAGGACACACCTCAGAGTGTACATCACTCGTCCATCACTCCACAGGCGCAGGAGGCGATTGGGTGTGGTGATCCAGTGGGCGTCGGATTTGCGGGAATTGCGGAAAAATGTGTCAGGAATCCAGATCTTTCCAACCATGTTGCTGTTCAGCATAAGGACCTTCATAGAGCTGTTGAACTGAAGCCGGCTGTCATACCATGTCTGAGCGAAGAAGATGTCTATGGTGTACTCCTGAAGAATACAGCAACGAAAATCATTCGTATATGAGCCACAGTGTTTAGTTGAGCAGTTACCCAATCTGAGAACAAATCTATAAAAGCCTGACTGCAACATCAAATAAACACCATGTGATTAGTAAGTGTTCTTTTCTTTAAATCAGATCTAATTACACTAAACTGAAACTGATGGATAAAGATCCCCAGAGCGAAGAAAAGAGAGACCCAACCACACCTAAGCAGATCCAAATCGAGATTCATTCAGAAACAGCTCTGCAAGATTTATGTTTTATTCCATATTTTTTTTATTTTGAAGCAGCTGCTTAAACTACATCTACTGCTTACTTTCTCGGTTTTCAAACAGCATCAGCCATTCTTAGTCATAATCAGCATGACTGGCTGTGTCTTGTTCAAAGGCAGGGATAGTGACTTATAAATGATGGTTATGTTCATTTTTTAATGTTTCTATAATGACTGTTTCTTTCTAAATAAATTACTGAAAAGGACTATTTGATTTTCTCTTGTACAGTTGCCACAAGTGAGTTTTTTCAGAGTAACATGGAATAAATATTTTCCTTTACTTCTACAGTTGTAATACTAAAAGTATTACTTTTACTAGAAATAATGAGGAAAGTAATCCCAATACATTTTGAAAGATGTAAGTAAATGAATATAAATAAAATATATAATTAGATAAATATATTAAATATTTTTTGAGTAACTACTCCAACACAGGTCTTTATTTGGAGTTGCAGTCACGCTTTCCTTAATTTGTTCTTAAACAGGGTAAAAGCTCAACTAACAGCTTAATGTGATGCGTTTAAAAATGTTTATCATCTAAACATTTAGATTTACTGCATAAGACATACAATAAAATTCACCGTGTGTGGTTTGGTATGAGCTCACCATGTTGATGGGATCCACTGGGCCAATGCTGTTCACATACACAGCTGTCTTAATCACAGTGGGTTTCACTGGAAAAACATAAGTACATTTGTACTTAAATAGGGGACCAAACAGGCCTACAAATAGCCTACAAACATATGTACCTGCATACATTGTCATTGTCACATTATAACCTAATTTTGAAAACACTAACTGCCCTTAACATTGTATGAACATGTCATGATGAATGGGGTAATAGGAATGGCCAAAACTGACTTACAGAATAGAGTCTCTTTACATTAAGGTAGATGAAATTAAGAATGCTTTTTGCTTTTCCTCTAAAGATGTGTATATCTATATTTATGCAAATGGGCTCATTTGTTACTAAACTCTTCCACAGGCTATTCAAACCCCATGTGCTGAAAAATTTCTCTCTGTAACGTCAAACTTACTAATCCAGTGAATATTCATATGAAATTGAAGACGAGATTTTGTAGAGACTGCGCTACTTCCAAAGCATCCAGGCAAAACAATGCAGATCTAAGGAGATGATGAATCACAGAAAGCCCGCAGGTCCTCCTTACACCCCCTCATTGTCGGCTCTGAACACTAATGAACTCCACTCGCCCTCGCTCCCTCTCTCCTTCTGTCTCTGTCTCACTTTCTCCCTCTCTTTATCTCTTCACATCTCTCAGATTCACATAAACATACAGATAAAGAAGGAAGATCAATATTGATTTGACTCTGTTGTGCTCTGACACCGCTGGGATCAATCCACTTAAACAACTGATCTGTGGTCAACTCAGCACATTCCTTCCACCAAACAGCGACAAAGAGAGGAACACAGTGCACCATTACACAATAATAATATCCTTAAGTACAGCAAGAAATCATTGCATGCATAAATCAGGAGGAACAAAAACAGCTTTAGATTTTATGTTTGCTATAATTCAGGTTAATTTTCTTGAAAACAGAGCCTCATTCACAAGTCTTTATACAGATGTGTATGTCCTTCTACAGTCTTGTGACATTGCAGCCATCAGTTGTGTAACTACTGACAGAGCAGTCGTGGCAATTACACTGGGGGGTGGGAAAAAAAAACACATTATCTTCGAAGCACTAATTTTGCACTCGTCAGTAGCTACAATTTAATAGTACACTTTAACCATTAGCCTACATTACAGCATCAACTTTGTAAAAACAAAGTAATTGTCATAATATTGACAAGCAAATTACATAGTCCTTTTTGTAAACTACACTATGTGTGTTTTGGGGATTTGGAGACCTCTCTGGTGGAAATGTGTAATTGCACAAGATGTGAAGAAAGACATTCTGTAACGTTGGTTATGCTTCTCTAGGTAAATGCATCTGATGTCTGCAAGCGCGTTGACACAGTATTCAAAGAGAACTCCAAAAGAACCGTACTGCGAAAGATGCGCCTCGAAAGATGTAAGTAAATCATTTACTTTTGTCATTATATCTTAATATGATGATGATTTAGCATTTGAGACATAAACAGCCGCACACATATTTTAGCTTGATTTTTTTCTCCTGACTCAGTAACGCTACTTCTTTCACTTTTAACCCAAAAAACATACATAGTGCAGCTTTAACTAATTTAAATTTGTTGACCTATTGGTGCTTTTCTCCATATGCATTCTTTTGGTGCAATCAACTGTTGCAATGTTGGACAAGCTTTATAGGAAGCTGGCATGAATTCCATTCATCCTAACAACAAATTCTACCCAACTTTTTAGAGTCGCTGCAAAACATTAAGTTTCCAAATTAAAATCCAATGCTACCGAGCTGAACTATGCTGTGGTCACTAATCAAAACTAAGTACAAAAGAAACAATGACAAATTTGCCACCATGCTAATGTTTAGCAAAAAAATCCATCCAAGCAGTGTTAGCTTCCACATGCATACAGAATAAACATCATTTGAAATCAACATAATTTTGGCATTTTGACAAAAACTGAGTTGTGTCTACAATTTCCCATTGAATAGGATTTTTGCAAATGTTCCATAAATCTTATCCAACCTCACAACAATTCCAACAAAAGAATGCATTTGTGGCCATTTTGTATACAGGGGCCCATTAATTTTTATTAAGATCTCAGTTGTGCCACTGACTGAAATCATTCCTAACGTCCTTGTCTGTGTTTCAGCGGGTGATTGCTGGTCGTTAGGACGTCCAGGTGTGGGAGATTTGGGAACCGATCCAAATTTGCTGTGATAACTTGCCTCCAATGTCTGGCCGCAGTTTGTTGTCGTATCCCTGCAGTAATTTATTCAGGATGAGGGTGACGTCGCTCTCGTAAACCTTGGGCGATAAAACCCAAGTTTTATTTATGGGAACGTCCTCATAATCTTCCTCCTCTGCTTTACTGGGCCCAAATGCCAGGCTGATAAAAAGGAGAAAGAAAGAGTAAACTGTTAGAGGAGAGAAACAAGAGGAAAAAAACAGCCTCATAAAGAATTAGGTATACTGATGGAGAGAGAGAGAGAGAGAGAGAGAGAGAGAGAGAGAAGAAAAAGGATTTCTTTAGTTTTAGGAGCTCGAGCTCAAAGGACAGTGACTGGTTTAATGAGCTAAGAATGATAGGCAGGGAGAGAAGAGGGGGATTTGTAAGAAGAGTATGAATGTATGAACAGATAAAGAATGTCATCCGTTACTGTAAATGAGCGAAGCCCCTGAGACAGCAAGAACGAGGGAGCTTTTAAACAAGTGCAGCGTGGAGAGACACAAAGAAGGGGGATCTAATAAAAGAGTGCAGTGATTAATGAAGATGTGCTTTGGAAAGGAGTGCGACGGAACAGCTGAAGGTTAGAGGTTTAAATTATCACCTCCAACTCTCTCTCTCTCTCTCTCTCTCTTCCTCTTTGCCAAGGGACTTGTCTGGCCTTATAATTGCATGGAAATTTTTGAACACCCCTGTTTAAATGACATATTTTGTTGATTGTCTAAGTGAAAAGCTAACATATCTTCTACAGGAAAGAAACTTAAATGTGGCATTTTTCTACAAATTTTAGAGCACAATTTTGACTTATTTGCTGAGTTTAATATTGGAAAAACTCAAATGTGCCATTACATTTGCACAGACCACACTTTATGTTTTTTTTTGGTCCAATATGTTAAATTCAGCAAATAGACAATAATTGTGCATTAAAAGAAGAAATGATTTCCCTGTAGAGGATGTGTTCATTAATTTTCACTTAGAAAATAAACAAAACATGTAATTGAATCATGGGTGCTCAAACTTTTGCATATGGCTGTTTAACAGACGGACTGTGGGTCCAAATGCGCTTAACACATTTTGTTTTTGCTCTTTTTAATTTCTTTGCCTGCCGTGACATTTTTTTAACTGCCAGCTGTGTGTTTTCAGCACAGTCAGAAATCTAAGCACCCAATCTGTCACATGATAATGGGGAAATGCGATTGGTTGGTATTTCACTTAACCACAGGGGGAAAAAAGACTCCCCAACAACATTCCCCTCAAGTATTAAGTGAGAACATGTAAATGGCAACAAATGGCACAGCTGGGACTGAAACCAGAATCCCAAGAGCAGAACACTCTTCTCTGCTGTAGTTTTATTGAATACACCCTTGTTGGTTTGATAGACTGAAAAAAGTGATGCACAGAATTTACTTGCTTCAAACATGTACATCATTTCCACATGAATAAAATATATTACATCAATATAATTTTCTTTCAGTTCAGTTGATAAGACATTCTACGATATGCTAACCTGCACCAGGGCAATCTGTTGCGCATGAAGAAGCTAATAAATTGTGTCAGTGAGCGGTGAGAAGGCTTTTGTGCCTAATCCTCGCTCCTCATTAATTCTGTAATTATTAGGCAGGATAATTTAAGAATAATTCCACTGAAGACTGTCTGAGTGCCGTTCAGTTGAAATGTTGCCTAACTGCTTATCTAAGCTGCAGAAGAAAGAAATTAGAGATTCAAAATGTTTTATTGTCACTCACTAATAGCGCATTAGGACAGAAAGGCTGAATCGGTGGGAATACTCTAAAGGCACAGCACGCATTGTACATTAGGATGGCCAGTGCCATGTTCAGTATGCATTACTACTTGATGACTTAAGCATCCATTTTCTCTAATAAGCAGCTTTCTAACAGTGATAATGATGACGAAACACCAGCCGCGGGAACAGATTCTCGAGGGAAATGAAACGCTCAGCATGGCAAAACTTCCTTGACACAGAAATTCTAAGAAAAGCCTGCATAAAAGGGCCAGATTACAGAAGTGAACAGTGTTTATCTCCGCAAAAAGAACAGTGAGCTGTACAAAAGAGGACTGACAACATGTGCGAGTGTCTATAACATATTTTACTCAAATATTAACATGTTGTATGGTTACATTTCAGTGAGACTAAATGTGGCTCAGAAATATATTCAGAAGTCTGTTCAGAAGGTATGAAAATATGAAGATGCTTTTCAAAATCGCATGAAAATGATAACCGTACTATGGCCTCTTTAATGTTTGTTTCCCATAGGTGACCAAACACTGCATATTCTTGGGTACCTATAGACTACTGATGATTGGCTTTCTTCCACCTAGTGTTCCTACAGAACTGTTTGTTCAATAAGCATGAAAGATGCTCACACAGCTCAAAAAGCCACTGTGGTGCACATCTGCTTACTGTTCTAGAATCACCACAAGGCCAAATTTCAACCTCTCTTATCTCTAATACCCATACAAGCTGGAAAAATTATTCACACATAGCAAATAATCATCCACAAATCAGCCATTTCCAGCATATGGCCAACAAAAAAGTCACTCAGACAGTTTAAAATTAAAGATGATTTGCTACATTTTCCTAAATTTCTACATAATTCTGCAATTAAGATGTAAACAAAGTCATTCAGTGTGGTTTGATGTAAAAAGCGCCATTCTGGAGAAGCTCACCAAGACAGAACTGTTGTTCAGTGGTGGTGATAGGCACCAAAAGAGTCTCACAAGAGTTAATGCTTCCAAAAGCTCCCTCACAGAAAGCTATTACATGACATGGTTATGAATATGTTGCCTGATGCCTGAGACTAAGGGTGGGAGATAAAGGGTGGGCATAAAATGGTATATTATGATACATTTTCACAATAAGCGACATGTATTAGGATGTTTAATCTTTTTGAAGGGTTATAAGTTGAAACAGAAGCCCATGCAGTGCCACTTCTATAAGTTATATCAAAAATGATGAATACAATATTGTTATTCAACATTTCACACACTGCACTGCACCAAATCAATTCAACAGGACAAATTATAATCTCTTTGTAAGGTAATCAGTGTTCATTAAATACTGACAATGTCCACAATATACTCAGTAAAGGTTATTGTGACATAATTTGTCATGATAACAATACAATATTGTCATATTGCCCACCTCTACCTGAGAAATTGTGTTACAATAGTTCTGGGATACGCTTTTGTTCTAAAACATATTTCGGGAGGTACATATAAGGTCCTAGGAGGCAAAATAGTGCCCAAAAAAAATATTTTGTTGGGATTTTTCCACTGTTACCATTATAACCATTACATATAAAACCTCAGAAGATAAATATGATTACTGTCATTTTGGATAGCAAATAATTTTATGCATTGTAGGCATCACGACCTGTAGTTTCTACAAATACCACTGTAAAGAAATCTTGGTTGATAAGTTTTTCTACCATTTCACATCAAACCACTTCACATGCATTTATTTACATCTCAACGACTGAATTATATAAAAATTTGGAAAAACACTTCAATGTTACAGCTGAGTTGCAGTACGATCAAGTGGTGTCTGTAGTCAGTAGGCAGGAATTCTCATTATGTGACTGTTCCTTCACACTATGTCCAAAAGTTTGTAGACTGCTTAGTGTTTCTTCTGAAAACAAGGGTATTAACAAGGCATTTGTTCCTCTCTTTGCTGCAGTAACAGTAACAATATCTACGTTTTACACTAGATGTTGGAACAAGCTGTGAGGATTTGATTGCATTCAGCCACATGAACATTACTGAGGTCAGGTACTGAGGTTGGATAATCAGTTTTGGATCACTCCTACTCATCCCAAAGGTATTGGCTGCAGGTTCATCACTCCAGAGGACACAGTCCCCATGAGGTGCTGCGGCTGCAGTATCCCATTCTATTGGTCAGTGCTTTTCTGTTGAGATTATACAAGCTGTGTGTGCACAGTTGAACACCTGCATCAGCAGTGGGTTCACCTTAAAGTAGTGAAATCACTAATTAGAAGGGGTGTATGGATACTTCAGGACATTTTGTGCATCTGTCACATTGTATTGAAAGAGAGTTACACCAAGCTCCTTCAAGCAAAGCTCATTTGCATCTCATACAAAAACTCAATCTTAAAACATTTTTACCTGCAACAACAAGCTGCCTGCTACCAGAATGATTTATGCAGTGCTGTAAGTGATGCCCCATTACTACAGCATAATAAAGAAGTAAAATATAAGCAGAAAACAGAGTGAGGGGGTGCTGAAGCCTATAAACCTGGTGATTTGTGGTTGACTCCCGATGCCACGAACATTAGTTATGTTCTAGTCTGTCTCAATATTTTAACATTTGAAGTGCTTGGCCCCGTCATTGCAGCTTGCAGATTATGCTGATCCCAACTGCGAACAAATGCATTTAGACTCAGTGGCAGCTAAGAGACAGGGGGATGTGGGGGGGTGGGGGGGGGGTTTGGAGGTGGGGGTGCTGGCCAGTCCTATCAGACCCGACAGGATGGAGCTCGTGTGTTTCATGAGGACACAGAAACACACAACATTACCTATGATACAACCCTGTATCTCCATATGGGGCTGCTTCAGTAGTGAGCTGCCAGCTCTGGCAGTTGAGGACGAGCTGATATGAAAGCGCTGGGGATAAGAACATTATAGAGACCGCAAGACCGAATGCAGGCACAGCTGCGGCTTAGAGAAGACAAAACGAGGAAAACACATTTCATTCGGCTCGTTTGCTTTTCTTCAGGACGGCCTGGAGCGGGGGACTTTTTATCTGAGTGTCTGTGGACCGAAGTCTCCTCAAGGTTGTTTGCAGGAGTGACATTGCGCCTGCTGGCGAAAAGAAACGAAGAGAAGACGACAGTGGAGCAGTAAAGAGCCCGAGCTAATCAGCTGAAACGAGATACGACACAAAAAAACAGCAAGGAAACTTCACCTACATCTGTCTAATAAATTAACCAAAAAACGCCCGTCTTCGGCTACGACACATTTGAATTCAAGCGCGAAATACTGAACCCAGCAGTTCACCTTCACGGACGACTCGACTTCATGTCGATATTAGCGAGCTAACTTCTGTTTATGTTTCAGGTCTCTCCGTTTAACTGAAGGGGGCAAACTTACCAGAGCCGCAGCAGCCCGGGCAGGAGCCAGAGCAGCGCCTCTCTCCTCGGGCGGAGCAGCATGACCACGACGGACACGCAGCACACAGGCTCGGTGTGAGTGGAACAGGCTGGCGGAGTCTTCTAGAGGAGAGCGCAGAGAGGAGAGGAGCTCATGCGGAAGGAAAAGCTGCACTGAGCCCGACACGACCGGCTGGAGCTGAAGACTGCATACATGCAGCCTGTGGGGCTGTGGTCCAGAGAGAGGATCCGACAGGGAGGGAGGGAGGGGGGATGGGGGGCAGTGTGTGAGTGTGTATGAGAGAGAGAGAGAGAGAGAGAGAGAGAGAGAGAGAATGCGGAATTCCGCTGATTGTAGCGCTGCTGTTGTTTCTTTCCCAGCCTTCATCCATCCGGCGATCTGCTGAGTGAGACGGACTCGGTCGTTGTGGGAACTGAAAAAAAAGCTGGACTAATGAGACGACCTGTGAGAAAACAGCTGACTGTTTCACACCTCAGAGGCTCCAAATCGAAGTGTGATTTATGAAAGCGCACAAAGTTTTTGCTGCATTTACCGGTTTACATTTTTACATTCTTTGGTTGGGGAAATGGATTACGCCCCCCTACCAAAATAATAAAAAGTTAAAAAAAAAAAATCACGACACCTTTAAAACCATTCCATCCCTTATGGACAGGGGCCGTTTAACTGATAGGACTGCATGTAAATAAGAGACGTAATATGCCTCATATGCATATTTTCATTCCATCCGTATTTGAGATTTACACACTTTTACATATATTTTGATATGTTTGGTGAAGCCCAGCTTTTTGAATTTTTAATGTTTTTTTTTTTTTTTTTTTTTTTATAATTCCACCACTGCGTGTATTACTGAGGGAACATCAACTGAACTCCACTCATTACCAAAACCTAACCAAGTCTAATATAAATGTTCCATATTCAAGGAATGTCTGTGTGCACCGTTTCTCAGTTTGGTGCTGCAGAGCTTCAGATTCTCACAACACAGAATTACTAACTCCAAACATGGACAGACCCAAGTGAGTGTTGGAAAGGGCAGGCCATTGTATTGACTGCTGTAAGAAAAATGCCATGTTTATTTTTAGTTCAGCAAAGAACTAAAAAAAAAAGAAAAAACATATAAACAGTTAAGTGTCTCGAAACATACCAAAATGATACACACTTTAATGGTGCGTTGAAGGCTAAGAACAGATTGGACTTACGTGCTGTCCAGCACCACGGAGAGCTCCCAATCTCTCAGTATAAAGATCAGCCAGTCTACAATGATACCAAGACCAGTGTAATGATCACCATATGTATGTATGTATACCGATCAGACATAACATTATGACCATCTCCTTGTTTCTACGCTCATTGTCCATTTTATCAGCTCCACTTACTATATAGGTGCACTTTGTAGTTTTACAATTACAGACTGTAGTCCATCTGTTTCTCTGCATACTTTGTTAGCCCCCTTTTACCCTGTTCTTCAGTGGTCAGGACCCCCATGGACCCTCACAGAGCAGGTACTATTTGGGTGGTGGATCATTCTCAGCACTGCAGTAACACTGACTTGGTGGTGGTATGTTGGTGTGTGTTGCGCTGGTCTAAGTGGATCAGACAGCTAAGTGCTGCTGGAGTTTTTAAACACAAATAGTCCACCAACCAAAAATATCCAGCCAACAGCGTCCTGTGGGCAGCGTCCTGTGACCACAGATGAAGGACTAGAGACACAACACAACACAAACTGTGCAGCAGCAGATGAGCTATCGTCTCTGACTTTACATCTACAAGGTGGACTGACAAGGTAGGAGTGTATAGTGTATAATAGAGTGGATAGTGAGTGGACACAGCGTTTGAAAACTCCAGCAGCACTGCTTTGTCTGATCCACTCGTACCAGCACAACACACACTAACACACCGCCACCACGTCAGTGTTACTGCAGTGCTGAGAATGATCCACCACCCAAATAGTACCTGCTCTGTGAGGGTCCATGGGGGTCCTGACCACTGAAGAACAGGGTAAAAGGGGGCTAACAAAGTATGCAGAGAAACAGATGGACTACAATCTGTAATTGTAGAACTACAAAGTGCTCATATATAGTAAGTGGAGCTGATAAAATGGACAATGAGCATAGAAACAAGGACATAATGTTATGCCTGATCGGTGTATATATATAAACAGAATGCAATGATTTGCAAATCTCGTGGAACCATATTTATGCCCATTTTTATTTTATATCAGATGTTGAAAGTGAGACCATTTCATGAAAAACATTAACTCATTTATAACTGGCAGCAATGCATCTCAAAAAAGGTATAAAAAGAGGATTTTAGAGAGACAGAGTCTCTCAGAAGCAAAGATGGGCAGAGGCTCATCAATCTGCGAAAAACTGCATCTAAAAATTGTGGAACAATTTCAAAAAAATGTTCTTCAGTGTAAAATTGCGAAGAAGTTGGATATCCCACCATCTACAGTACATAATATCATGAAAAGATTCAGATAATCTGGAGAAATCCCTTAACGCAAGGGACAAGGCCAGCGGTCAATATTGGATGCTTGTGATCTTCGGGCCCTCAGGCAGCACTGCATTGAAAACAGGCAGAATTATATTCTGGAAATCACTGCATGGGCTCAGGAACACTTCCAGAAATCATTGTCTGTGAACACAGTTCTCTGTGCAATCCACAAATGCAAGTTAAAGCTGTGTCATGCAAAGAAGAAGCCATATGTCAACACGATCCAGAAACGTTGCCAACTTCTCTGGGCCAAAGTTCATTTGAAATGGACTGAGGCAAAACAGAAAACTGTTCTGTCGTCAGATGAGCCAAAATTTAAAATTCTTTTTGGAAACTACGGACTCTGCATTCTTCAGACTCAAGAGGAGAGGGAACATCCAGCTTGTTATCAGCCCGCAGTTCAAAAGCCTGCATCTTTGATGGTATGGGGTTGTATTAGTGCCTATGGTGTGGGCAGCTTACACATCTGGAAAGGCTCTATCAACGCTGAACATTATATAGAAGTTTCAGAACAACATATGCTCCCATCCAGACAACGTCTCTTTCAGGGAAGGCCTTGCATATTTCAGCAAGACAATGCTAAACCACATACTGCAGCCATCACAACAGCATGGCTTCGCAGAAGAAGAGTCTGGGTGCTGAACTGGCCTGTCTGCAGTCCAGACCTTTCACCAACAGAAAACATTTCGTGCATAATGAACCGAAAAATCCAGCAAAGAAGACCCAGGGCTGTTGAGCAGCTAGAAGCCTACATCAGACAAGAATGGGACAACATTCCTCTCCCAAAACTCCAGCAATTGGTCTCCTCACTTCCCAGACGTTTACAGACTGTTGTTAAAAGAAGAGGGGATCCCTGTCTAGTAAACCTGTAGTAAACCTATAGTTTTTTTTTACAGGCAAAAACACACTTACTGCCACTCATAGTACCAAGATAAATAGTGTAAAATGACTTTATGAACTTTTGCACAGTGCTGTATATATTTATTGACAAATGCTATGCATCCAGTATCTTTTGTCACAGAGAACAGAATAAAATAGGACAGATCAGAATGGAATGAAATAGATCCAATTGGAATAGAATAGAATAGAATAGAATAGAATAAGGTTCTTTAAGGATCATCTAAAATATACAGAAAGAAACATAAATAAAGATCTATAAAGTAGACACTGGCCTAATAAATCTGGAATGCGATATCAAAAAAATGCATAAATTAATAAATACATATTAAATAAATACATAATTCATGCTGTATTATAACTACTGTATTTCTCATTATTATTGGTGCTCACAATTATACAATCACAATCATCAGGACAGTGCTGGGACTACTTCTGATATTTTATTATGAATGCTGGAGCCTGTCGTGAGATCAGTGTGTGGTCTAAATGATGGAACATTTGTATTCAGGTGTGTTCTGACAAAAATGAAAGGAAGAGGAGAGATGAGACATCACCATGGTGATGTCAGCCATTAATATTCTGAGACGGTATGATAGGCTCCTCACATCCACCATTACACCACTGGAATACACACACACACACACATACACACACAAACCACAAACAACCCCCCCTCCCCTAGTGTTATTATTCAATGTGGATTCTTGCAGAGGAAAATGAGGATTTTGTTCAAACAAATCATGTTTGCTTATTATTATGACAGATGAACACAAGAACAAAGTGTTACAGAAGTTTCAAATGAGGTGTGTTCATATTAAAGCTTCTGACAAATATTTACCCAATTATCTTTTCTAATTCCTGTCAAAGTTATGGCCAAAGGATTTTTTCAATACTATGAGAACAAAGAATGCCATGCACACACCGGCACTCGTGCACACACACTCGTGCGCGCACACACACACACACACACACACACACACAGCACAAAGCCAGAGAATAAACAGTCAGGTTCTGTCACACATATTAAGCATCAAAGCTTTGTGCATGTACCCTCAGTTGCCAAGCAACTCGACCAACACCTTATTCACGGTTGATTGATTTATTCTGTAGAGGAATCCCCGCTCCCAGCACTCTGGTCTCTAGTTCATATTTCCCCATTGTCCGTTCAGCTACTGCTTTTTTGTGCTCTTGCATCAAAACATGGACCAATGTGTGTAGTTAAACCTCCAAGTCATGATATGTTACCCCTTACAATAATAAAGCAAGGAGCCATGAGAGGCTTTGACCATTTGATATTGCACATCCTCCACAAAAAAAAGCCATTTATCCTCTTTTTAGCTCAAGATTGAGGCTCAGAGGAAGACACAGTAGCTTTACATGTGTGTGTGTCTGTGTGTGTGTGTGTGTGTGTGTGTGTGTGTGTGTGTGTGTATTTTCACTTCTAGGCCCATTTGGTCACCTAGTTTTTCTCAGTATGGTACATACTGGAGACTAGTCATATCTAACTGCAAAAAAGTAGGAAAAGGGAGAAAAATAAAGAAAAATCAGTTAATGGGAAAAATACACTTTCTATTAATTTAGTTTATGACTTTATTTATGGAAAGACTTATGGATTTATTGAGATGTTTTTAATCAATACTGACATTGATTATATAGGAAAAAACAGTTATAGAGTAAGAACTTTACATTTAACCATTCAATGCGCAAACAATTAAAAGTTTAAAAAAACAAAATAAAAAAAAAACACATGCACTTTAAGTTTCTCTAAATATCACTTTTACTTTAAAGTTACAGAGCTGTCCACATATGTGGACACCATGCATGAAAGGAGTAGGGCCATCT